TTAAAATAAAAAAATAAATAAATAAAATAAATAAATAAATATATATATATATATATATATGTACATATATACATATATATATTTTAAATAAATAAATAAATTAAATAAATAAATAAATATATATATATATATATATATGTACATATATACATATATATATTTTATATATATATATGTTTATATATATATATAAACATATATATATATAAAATATATATATATATATATATATGTACATATATACATATATATATTTTATATATATATATGTTTTTATATATATATAAAAACACTGTCTGTGCTATTGGAATCATGCAACTAATGTGCATATGCTTAGAGTTCATCTACAAAAGCCAAAGTCTGTTTTAAATATTGGGAAGTAATCATAAAGGTTATGGCTATGCCTCTTGCTCTCTCTTCATGAAGAACAAATTCCGAATTAAGAACACATCCACCAAAAAATAAAAAAGGGTTAAAATTGGAAATAAAAAAATTTCATGCTTTACAAAATAGCACATTATTAAAACTGAATCTTTGTGTGTGTGTATTTCGAGTGTCACTAAGGAAACATATGAAAATTATCTTTCAAATGTATTTGTCAGGAAGATACAGAAATGAAGAGTCAAGGGAAAAATCTGGTTGAATAATACCTTTTGAAAAAGGAAAATGCCAAAATAGTAGATGATTACTGATGATTTTCTACCCTCATGACAAAATAAAAGTTCAAAAGAAAAATTCTCCAAAGATGTTTCTTTAAATGTGCGTATAGCAAATGCTCCAAATGAGTTGCAGAATCCAGAAACATCCTGAAGGAAGTGAGCATACTTACACAGATTGCAGTGTGCCTGTAAGGAAGTGTGGCCTTCTCCACGCACTGTCCATTGGTGACATTCCAAACACACATCTCCCTAGCAAAGATAACTTTGTATTATTCTCTATCATTTCCACTCAATTGGTTGGAATACTTTTTGTGCGACAAAGTTTTTCTTTAGTGCTGCACTTAAGTACAGCCTGATCGTTTATTTGGCATTTTGTTACAGATTACTAGGCAAAAAAAACCATTGTGATCATTAGCAGGAATGACATACTGTATCTGTATCTTTTTGTTTTGGTAATTACACCCTGCCGCCAGCCTGCAAACCTTACTTTAGGACCAACCTGGCCTCCAACTAATGTGGGGATACAGCTATCATGGCCTGTTAGAGTGACAGTACAACAATCTTTCTATGGAAACTACATCCTCTTGAAAATAGTTTATTTCACTGAACTTAAACTGCATATTCTGAAAAGCATAATGCATCAAGTGCTGTATCTTCTGGAGCCGAGGTTGCACTTTTGTAAAAACAAACAGTGCCACCAAGAGGCTACATTTGGTCTATCATTGATACAGTTTATTTCTTTGCTTCTGATTTAAAAGGCTGAAATCATCCTTGCCACTTAATATTTAGAAAACTCATAATGTTTAGAAAACTCTTACTTGATTACATATGTGTTACAAAGACATATATACAGTTATAAAATACAGTTACAAAATACATCCAGTGTAGAGTGGTTTAAATCTATATGATTTCTGTTCACAAAAACCATATGGCTGTTTCAGAATTGATTGGTAATAATCATTTTCACAGTTTGAACACATAAGCAAATTTTTTCCATAAAAGAAAAATAAAAGTTTTATAAACATTAAGAGAGATGCTGCTATTAAGAAGCAAAAAATATGGACTAATAATATTAAATACTATATGCAATTGGTGATTTTCACAGACTTTTTAAGCCTTTCTAACCAAACACTGGAACCGAATCTTCAAAGTCAGTGTTTCTTAAATTGGGCTATTTGCTCCCCTTCCTACCCACTCTCCACCTCCCAAGGATATCTGGCAATGTTAGGAGATATTTTTGGTTGTCCCAACTGGAAACACACTACTGGCATCTAGTGGGGAGAGGCCAGGGATGCTGCTAAACATTCTATAATGCATAGGACCATCCCCCACAACAAAGAATTATCCAGTCCAAAATATCATTAGTACTGAAGTTGAGAGACCATGTGATACATATAGAAACAAAATATTCATAGATTTTTCCCCCCCTCTGTTTATATTCAACCTTATTCCAAAAAGGATTTGAGGTAACCTGAAAAGGCATGTAACACTAAAACAGAGAGCAGCAGGGGGTGGGGGTGGGGAGTCTGCGTGTGTGTGTGTGTGCGTGTGTGCATGGGTGTATACTAAAAAATAAGATTGGCAGAAAGGTAGAAATGGAAATAATATAGGTAAATAAATATATATTAAAGATTTTTTTAAAATGAATATTAATCAGCCAACAATGTAAAGATTTAGCTCTACAGGGATTTGAGTTCAGCACCATGGTTTTTAACTCCAGCTGTGCATAAACGATTAAGAGAATTTTTCAAAAACTACCCTCAGAGATTCTAATTCATGGCTCTGTGTTGGGGTCTTGGCACTGTGGGTTTGAAGAACTCCTGGTCAGGTGACCTGTTTCTAGGTAAGCCTATTTCCAAACCAATAGCTGTAGACTTTAGCTATACATTGGAATTTTCAAGGAACTTTTTAAAAGTACTGATGGCTGGAACCCAATACAGATATCGAGCCAGGCTAATTAAATCACACTTTCCAGGACTGGAGCCTGAGCATCAGTAAAATCTTCCCCAGTGATCCTGATCTTTTTAAACCATCTTGGAATCTAATGCTTTCCCTGTTTGTTTGCTTATCATTGTATTTTCTATCATAAATTTGAAAAAAAAAATCATAAAACAAAATTGATTTTCTGCCTATCAATTCCATTTTAGAAAAGAAAGTAAATTAGTGATGTATCAAAAGTAACATTGGCATTATAGCTGTAACTGTGAAAGCTACACACTTAACAACAAGATATGAAATCTAACTATGAAAATGCATATTCTTTTAAATTTTAAATACTATTCCCCAAATTTGTACACAGATAAAATCATCTTCAATCATAAAATATTAAATTAACAATTTCCAAAATTTCTAAAATTCATACACTTTTTATTTTAATAAAAAGAAAAACAGAGGAAAAATACCTACAACATATAAAATTAGAAAATAGTTAAATCTCACTCCTTGAGAAAGGACTCTTTGTCTTTTTCAACTCTACATTCCCCATCTCAGTACTTCAATAAAAATTCATTCAATGGATAAATATATCAGTCACCATTCTTTCATACACTTTCCATCTTTCAGAAATACACACTATTTTCTCTTGGCCACACTCCTATTTCTCATTATGTGCTAATAACACTGTTATTGCTTTGCTCAAATTTTAATAAAGTGTCTGGAGAGAGAGAAGATAAATATGAATACTTGATTTGCCATCTCGAATTGCAAGTCTATTATATTCTTCAGTCTTTTCCTTTGCCTTCCATTACATTTTTGTTTTTTCTTTGGCATTTTCAGGTTCCTCTTCTTCCTCTGCCTGCTTCTTAAGTGCTGGCTTTCCTTAAAGTTTTGTCTTAAATTTTCTTACATTCTTGCATTTCATATTCTCTCTGGGTGAGTTATCTATTCCCATGGCTTCAGGTCTCGTCATTAGGCTGTTGGAAGCCTAGACCAACAAATTTCCAACATGTAACTAGTTATTAGATGTTCCCACCTGGATGACTCCTCATGTTCAAGAAAAAAAAGCATCTCCCCTCTTTGGTTCCCTATCTCAGTGAATGGCATTGTCACGAATGAGTTTCCCAAATTATTTTTGCCCCCACACTGTCTCTCATTGCCCCAAATGTGGAGTGCTTGCTACTCAAATATGATCTGTAGACCAGCAGTATCAGCATTGCCTAGGAATAAGTTAGAAATGCAAGTTCTTGGACCAAGCCCACTCCTACTGAATCTGTATCTCTGGGAGTGGAGTCCAGAAATCTGTACTTAACAAGGTCTGTAGGTGATTCTGATGCACGCTCAAGTTTGAGGAGGACTGTTCTAGTGGCCTCCAAGGCCTGCCTACTTCTCTGGTCTTATCTCTACTGGTGACTGAAACTTTTATTAATTAGCAATAGCCTCTCCAACAGTGCCAAGGCTATTTGCCTTAAAGTTTTATTAACTTTATGTATTTATTAATATAAAATATTAATATTGCTATACCAACGTTATTTTGGTTAATATTCACCTGATAAATCTTCTTCCATCCTTTTACTTTTAACTTATCTATGTCCTTATGCTTTTTTTTTTCTGGAAAATCTTTGTAATTTATCTGGAAGGCTTAGTTTTATCATGTAATAGAGACTACTATCTTATTCATATTTATTTCAACTATCTTATTTTGTGCTCTCTCTTTGTCTCATTTTTTCTGTGATTTTTTTCTTTGTATTAAACATTTTTTTTCTTTTTAAAATTGGTAGTTATACACTCTATTTCCTTTATTTTTATTTCTTTTGTGTGATCTTTTAGTAGCTACTCTGGAAATGTCCACATCTGCACCTAGCTTAAAGTCTAAGGTTAATCAACATATTTACCCACCTCTAGAACACCAGAACACTTGGAATCTGATTATTATACTAATTATAAGCTATGGTTGACCAGGATTGTGTATATGTATGGGTGGGCTTATATAAATATTATTATGTCTTATAGTCTGTGTTTATTTAAATTTTCTAAAAATTTGCTGGGTTTTGTATGATTGTTCTTCTTCCATCTCAGATCTTCCTTCTAAAATCATTTTTCTTTGTATTGAAGAATATCATTTAGAATTTTGTTACTTATAGAGGATCTATTGGTAGTGAGCACTCTTAGTGTTTGTCTTAAACTTTATTATCTTATCCTAATTTTTCAAAGATTTTTGCTGGATATACAATGCTAAGTTGACTAATATTTTCTTTCCACATTTTGAAGGTATTTCACTGCTGTCTAGCTTCATTTTACTGTTACGAAGTCAGCTCTCCATTTAATTAACATTCTTTTGTAAATAATCTGCTTTTCCTCACTGTCTACTTTCAAGACGTTCTCTTTTCCTTTGACATTCTGTTGCTTCAACATCAGGTGTCTAGGTGTTTATTTCTTTTCATTATTCTGGAATTCACTGGAAATCTGAATCTGAGGATTTATGCCTACAAATAAAATAATATTTAGGGAAGAAAAATGAAAAAATCTGATCCATGAAGCAACTCTGGGTCTCTTCTGATCATCTGGGAGGCAGAAATGCTAAGCACACAGCCACTTCCTGGGACTCCTCAAAGCTAAAAATGTGTTGTTATTTAGAGATAAATGGTGCCGAGCCTAGTAAGGGTAATAACTTCCAGTGGATTAAGTTACAATTTGTAAGTATGCAGTGTCTGAAGTGTAAGTACTGTCTAAGATGAATCTTATACAAGCAGGCTCAGTTTGGGGGGATCCTATGTGTTGTTATTTAGAGATTAATGGTGCCGAGCCTAGTAAGGGTAATAACTTCCAGTGGATTAAGTTACAATTTGTAAGTATGCAGTGGCTGAAGTGTAAGTACTGTCTAAGATGAATCTTATACAAGCAGGCTCAGTTTGGGGGGATCCTAAAAGAACAGAGTTCTAGAAAATTCAAATTATCCTGGCAAAGGAAATGTCTAGTCAGACAGTCATACTCACAGGGTTTATATGGCTGAATTAATCTATCATTAAGAACACAGCCATTAACCTTAGTTTCTTTTTTGGAGCTAGACCACCATGGGCAAAAAACACTAAAGCTCAATAACTTTTCAGATCTATTTCTCACTTAGCTATTAAGTTTTTCTCAACTCTCCAAGTAATCCCAGAAAAAAATTCATCATCCCTCAAATTCTCTAGGTTGAGAATAAGTTTCTCAGCATGTATAGCATGCTTTGTGGCAGCCCTGGTGTAGAATGCACTAGGACATTTCAACTTTAGATTTATCTAAAGTTCAATCTCTCTTAGTATAATAATTATTGCTTTACTATAAACTATGAGAATAGGCATCTCTTTGATATCTGTTCTACTAGCTATTTTGTTAAACTATTTTGTTTATACAAGTTGGACACGTGCTCATTATTCTTTTAGTGCTCAGAATTCAGAGGCATATCATTTCTCTTTTAAAAACAAAAGAGGAAGTTCTCTTGTTTCAACCAGCAACCCAATCCCTCATTCACAAATGCATCTGAATTGATTCTGCGTTCCATAGTATACTTTGACAAATAACTCATCAGCAGAGTCTAGTTCAAGGTAGCTCTTCCCTAAGTGGGGTTTTTTCCTACAGCTAAGTCCTATATCATCAGAGGGCCTCACTTCTATGAAACTGTACCCAAATCACTGTCTATGTTCCTTTCTTTTCTTGCTCCCACCATCCCACTCACAATTGAGTTCTTTCCTGTTAGTTTTATAATGGCATCAGACTAGGGTACACATGAAGATTGTAACTCTTAAATTATTTTTTGCAAAACTATGAAGGCTTGCATGGGTTTGCCTAAGAACTCAAAGTGAGTTAATACATGAAAAGACAAGCACCTAGACTTTTCCATTTCCAATTCTATACTAAGTATTTGTAGCTATTGTTCACACTGTGAGGCTCCCTCAAGGTCTGATACACATGTTGGGATGTTTATCTTGGTCCCAATTCAGCAAAAAGAGTACTAGATTGGAAATCATAATACTGATTACTTTCCTTGAGACCATCGCACCACACAAGATGTTAATCAACCATGCAAGATCTAAGTTTTCCTATATGTAAAAGAAACATGTTGCTCACAAACATTTCCTTCAGCCCCCATCATACTTTTTAAAAAGAGAAGGGAATGGAGAAGAGACAAAATACCACACATCTTACCTACCCATTTTCAGCAGCACTAACAACATAGGGCTGTTTAGAGAAGTCCCTTGCTCTTGCCAAACATGTTACTGAAGCCGAATGACCAAATAGGAGTTCTTTAGCTGAAATCTGAAAATGATGAAAGTAAGCTTTTAAACAACTGTAAACTGTTTGCAGAATAAAAACATCGTGCTACAGTATTCACAGTTCTGATTAGGAAATCCTGTTATATGATGTTTTTGCTGTACATAAGTTTCAGGAAAACTGATATATGGCATATCAAAATCCAAAGATAAAGGAATTGTATTGTACACACTTTTTTGTTTGTTTTGGTTTGGTGTCCATCATGAAACCTAGATACTGCCAGACCTGTTTTACAACATCTAGGTTTTGAATACAAATAAATCAGTGTTGATGCTTATTATGCAAAAAATGTCCCTCAAATGATAGTAGCATACTAATGCGTAGATTTCAGAATTCAAAATGAGTTTACAAAATAATATAGGAGAATGTATTGCCCTTTTTGCAATCATTATAATACCTTATTTGGTTGTGGGAATGTAAATTGGTAGCCATCACGGAAAGTAGTATGGAGCTTTCTCAAAAAATTAAAAACAGAACTACCGTACGGCCCAGCAATACTACTTCTGGGTATATATCCAAAAAAAATGAAATCAGTATCTTGAAGAGGTATCTAAACCCCAATGTTCATTGCAGCATTATTCACAATAACCAAGACATGAAAACAACCTAAGTGTTTGTCAATGGGCGAATGAATAAAGAAAATCTGGCAATGTATACATACATTATAAAATATTATTCATCCATAAAAAGCAAATTCTGACATTTACAACAACACNGTTGTGGGAATGTAAATTGGTAGCCATCACGGAAAGTAGTATGGAGCTTTCTCAAAAAATTACAAACAGAACTACCATACGGCCCAGCAATACTACTTCTGGGTATATATCCAAAAAAATGAAATCAGTATCTTGAAGAGGTATCTAAACCCCAATGTTAATTGCAGCATTATTCACAATAACCAAGACATGAAAACAACCTAAGTGTTTGTCAATGGGCGAATGAATAAAGAAAATCTGGCAATGTATACATACATTATAAAATATTATTCATCCATAAAAAGCAAATTCTGACATTTACAACAACACGAATGAATCTGGAGGACATTATGTTAAGTGAAACAAGCCAGACACAGAAAGACAAACACTGCATGATCTCACTTGTATGTGGAATCTAAAAATGTCAAACTCATAGAAGCAGAGAATAGAATTATGATTGCCAGGGTTTAGGGGTAAGGGAGGATTGAAGGTAGTCAAAGAGTACAAACTTTGAGTTATAAGATGAATTAGTTTGGGGAAGTTAAAGTACAGCATGGTGACTATAGTTAATAATACTATATTGTATACTTGAAATTTTCTAAGAGAGTAAATCTTAAGTATTCTCATCACAGAAAGAAAAGGTAACTATGTGAGGAGATGAATGTGTTAATTAAGTTGATTGTGGTAATCATTTCATAGTGTATATGTATAACAAATCATCACATTGTATACCTTAAACGTATATAGTTTTTATTTTTCAATTATACATCAACAAAGCTGAAAAAGCAAAGAACTGAAATTCCATTATTCATGGATGAAACATCAGACCAGTTATCATGGAGGACTTTTTAGGCACCAACTTCACTTTTAAAACTAACTAAAATTTCTAAAATAAACACATTTCTTATTTATATAAAAATAAAGAAAAAGTCAAGGAAATGAGAAGATAAGCAACAGACTGGGAGAAATATTTGCAAAACACATATCTGATAAAGAACTATTATCCAAAATATACAGAGAACTCTTAAAACTGAACAATAAGAAAATGAAAAACTTTATTACAAAGTAGTCAAAATGGCTGAGCAGACACCTCACCAAAGACGATGGCAAATGAACATATAAAAAGATGATCCACATTTGTATTAGTCAGTTTCTGTTGCTAATAACAAAATACCTGGACCTGGGTACTTTATAAAGAAAATAAATTTATTGCTTACAGTTTGAGAGGGTAGGAAGTCCAAAGTCCAGAGGTGAAGGTCTTGGTGGTGGTGACAGTGACTTAAGGGTCTCAGATGGCAGAAAATGGTAGAGCAGAGACAGACTAACCTCTCATGTGCTCTTCTTTTAAAGCTCTCAGAACCATGCCTCTGACCACCATTATTAATCCATTCACTATGTCATGGTCTTATAATGTCCTCTTCAAGGCCCCAGCTATCAATTACCAAAGTTGGATTTCCCACCCTCAACAGTTACAGCGGGGATTAAGTTTTGGGGGGACATTCAAACCAAGGCAACATCATATGTCGTAAGGGAAATGCAATTAAAACAACAATGAGATACCACTATAGACATATTAGAAGGACCAAAATCCAGAACATTGACAACACTTAATGCAGGCAAGGATGTGGAGCTACAGAATCTCTGATTTGATGCTGGTTGGAATGTGAAATGATAAAGCCTCTTTGGAAGTGTTTAGCAGTTTCTTATGAAACTACACATACTCTTATCATACAATCCACGAATTGTGGCTCATTGGTATTTACCAAATGAGTTGAAAAGTTGCGTCCACACAAAAACCTGTACACAAGTGTTTATGGCAGCATAATATGAGTACATAATTGCTAAAATGTGGAAGCAACCAAAGATGTTCTTCAGTAGGTGAATGGGTAAATAAATTGTGGTACATCTAGACAAGGAAATATTACTCAGTGCTGCAAAGAAATGAGCTATCAAGCCATGAAGACATGGAGAAACCTTAAATACGTATTACTAAGGGGAACAAGCCAATCTGAAAAAACACTACATGCTGTATGATTCCAACTATATGACATTCTAAAGAAGGAGATAGTAAGAACACCAGTGGTTGTCAGCAGGGGCAGGGTGGTGGGTGTGGAGATGAACAGGCGGGGCACAGAGAATTTTTAGGGCTGTAAAACTATTCTGTGTGATACTGTAATGCTGGATACATGTCACTATACATTTTTCAAAATCCACAGAATGTACAACAACAAGAATGAACTAACCCTAATGTAAACTATGAACTTTGGTGATAATGATGTGTAGGTTCATGGACTGTAACAAATATACCACTCTAGTGTGGGATGTGGATGATGGGGAGACTGTGCGTGTGTGGGGACAGAGGCATATGGGAACTCTCTGTACCTTCCACTCAGTTTTGCTGTGAACCTAGAACTGCTCTAAAAAATGAAGTCTGTCAAAATTTTTTTAAAAATACCTCTTTTGGCTCCCTATTCCAGAAATAGTAAAATGAACTTTTCTACATTAAAAACAAAACTGTAACTATATGATTATTTAAAATGCCAATGTTTTTCTCCTATACGAGAATTCAAAAAACATGACACTAAGGGCTAATTCTTCCATTACCTCATGTGTGAAAGAAGTACATGCCTCATTAGTTTGTAAAACAAGATTATGAAAATTAAACTACAAAACAGAAAACGTGTATGATCTCTTCAAATGGAGAAGGAGTTGTCAATAATGAACCAAAAATTTAACATGAATGACTATAAAATGTTTTGTGGGTAATAAAAATCTATTGTCCAAATGAATTAAGATCTATTATGGCTTTTTTGGAACTATGCAAACATATATGTAGATGATAACCCCATCATATCAATGAGGA